GTGGCGCTAGCTCCCCATCCCGCGGCTGCGAGCGGGCGTCTCGGACTCCCGCTGCTCAGCCGGGCCGAGGCGGCTGCTCCGAGGGGGAGGATGAAGGCGACAAGGAGGCGGGAAGCTCCGCTCCGCCCCCGCCTGGTCCCCGCCCGGTCCCCGCCTTGCCGCCTCCCACTGCGCGGCGGGCTGCGCCCTCAGGTTGGTGCGGGGGCTCTGAGCTCGGACTCCCGCTGTGCCCCAGACACTCAGCCACCCTCGCTCCCTGGCCGCGGGTCACCGTAGGCGCGCTCGAGGTGGCGACCTGGTGCCCACCTTGGCCCTCCAGCTCCTGCGCGTGACCGTGGATCGTGGGATTGCTAAGAGAAGCGACACTCGCTTTGGGTCACCCTCCCCAGCCGCAAGCCACTCCCAGGGCGCAGACCCGGATCAGAGGGGACAGTTGTGCAGAGGCGCGCATGATGGGGGACGAGCAGCCCCAGGACTGCGGCTAGCTGCAATCCCACTCCTCACCTGCCAGGCCCCGGAAGGACTTGAGCCACTAAGTCCTTCAAAGCCCAGGCGTCCTGTCTGGAAAATTCTCACTACAACTTGTCGGTGCGGGTCAACTGGCAGAGAGAGGCCAAAGGGCGGCCCGTTCCCAGAACAGACCAGCGAAATAATGGTGTTTGGGCGTAAGGACGCCTACCTAGGTGCCCAGAACACCACTAAAGAGGGTTGCCAGAGGCCGCCTTCTGGCAGAAAGGAGCCGCCGGAAAGTGAGGCAGGAGTGAGCAGTGAGCATTTTGCACTGTGAATGTACTGAGTAGAGTTAGGCGTGATGGTTTTTTGCTGGGAGAAGACTCTCTGTTTTTGGGTTAAATTATTTAGTGACTGTAAGAGTAAGTTTACCGCTACCCCTCCCAAGAGTAGGTGACTCCTTCTCTGCACTCTTTCTCATCCCGTCCTGTCCGACAATGTATTCTTTTATGGTGGCAATTCTAAATTTAGCGTAGAGGAGATTTAAAGTGGTTGCCAAAACCACTGGAAGGGATCCTATGAGTTGTTCAAACAAACATCCCACAGTTCACTGTTAGCTAATGGAAAAAGATACATATTTCCGAGAGGGCCCCGCCTATTCTATACGAGATTAGTTTGTGTAAGAGGCACCAGATAACATTAGTGAATACTCTATGTTTAGACTGCACAACCTCATTGAATACAATTACTTCATAATCGTGATAAGAATACTGAAGTATAGAAATTCATCCCAAATGAAGCCTGGTTTGGCCCTGGTTTGTGGAACTGCTATGAAGCAACTATCTTCCTGAGACTGGGTTAAATGACAAATATTTGTTATTTATACTATAAATTAAATGTAACATATATAAATAAAACATAATATACATAAACATATTTTAATTATAATATAAAATAAATAACCAATCCCCATGAAACAGCTCCTGTATCAATAGACAGACAAAATCTCATCTGACTGACATTCAAAAGTGCATAGGGAATGCTAGCCAGGCTTCTGTGGGACTTTGAGTCATTGAAATGCTCTATCCCAGTGAGTCACTTTATTTACCGTGTTTCGATTCCTTTTGGGTATTCTGTAGGGTGGACTAGAATGAAAACACAACTTCCCTGTTATTCTTAGTGCCTCCCATAGAAATCAACTTTATATTATCAATCAGAATAGAGTAAGGGAGTCGCGGGTATAGCTCCCCTGTACAGTGAGTGCATGCCTAGTGTGTTTGAGGTCCTGGGTTCAGTATGGGTCCACCAGTCTCCAATAAATGAAATAATGAGACTAACAAGAGGAATTGCCGTTCCCATATCAGAACCGAGATAATGTCATGAAGATGAGCTAGGTGCTGGTGACAGTTAGTGGACATTATTATTATTATTATTTAAAGATTTATTAATTTTTTATGTATACAGTGTTCTGTCTGCATGTGTGCCTGCAGGCCAGAAGAGGGTGCCAGATCTTATTACAGATGGTAGTGAGCCACCATGTGGTTGCTGGGAATTGAATTTAGAACTTCTGGATGAACAGACGAACTCTTAACCATTGAGCCATCTCTCCAGCCCCCTAGTGGACATTATTGTAGACTCAAAAGAGATCAACCTCACCCCCTGGAAGCCCTGGAGAAAGTACCATTGTGTGTCTTCAGGGACCCCGGAACACCTGTGCCATCTTCCACCGCCTTTTAGGGTTTGGCTGTGGACATGCATTGTTCAGGTCTGTATTTGCGAAGTACTTCCAACCCTTTGCTGCTGTTAATGGAGGTGCTGAGTGCTCACTGCTCTCTCAGAAAATGTCTATCACAGGAAGACAGGGAGATTCGTGTCTGAAGCTGCACAATGACAGCATTTATCTCTGCCTGGCCTCTAATTTGGCAGGTATAAACACGCATGTACAAACGCAAGCTCTTTGGTCAGTAGCTGGGGCTAGACACCAGGCTTTCATGAGCCTGGAAGGATAACCTTTATTCTTAGGACCAGACCGCCTTTGATTCCCATTTTGGATGGGGACGTAAATTTGAAGCCTATACACAATGTATCCGAAACTTACTCTTCAAAGAGGTATGTAAGTTTCCGCTAATTTTTAGTTAGCTTTTTTAAAAAATTACAAGATGTGGGAGAATTAAGTCAGGCAGGAGGTGAGAAGGATCGAGAGCCTGTCCACCCTGGTTCAAATGGCCATGACCCCATCCCAGTGAGGTCTCTGCTGGTTCTTCCGTCCACTCAGAAGCCTCTGAAATTTACACACTCCAAAAGACATTCTTTTTTTCAATTGCAGAATTCCTGCAATCAGACATTGGTTCTATTAAAAAATCTTGATTATCATCACCTCTGAATCCAAGCCCCCCCCCTTCAGTCTCTAAACCTCAACCCCCATCTTTGTAGTTAAGACTCCAAATCTTGCTTCGGCTCTCAGATGCAGACCGAAATGTTCACCGAGTCTCTTGAATAGCAAGTATCAAGAAACCAACACTTCAGCCAAGCCCAGAAACCACGGAGACTGGTGTCTCTAGAGAGTACCAAACCCCACTGATGCCCCTGATGGCCTAATCTCACTGCCCAGTCGATGCGCCCACTTTTATTGACTTAATCTGGTACCTTGCTTGATAGTTATTACTTCCTCTTGAAAATATTCTTGGAGATAAACATTACAGTAGGAGAATATCTTTGAAGTATATTCTGAATTTTATGATTCTCAGATGTGTAAAAGATGATTTTTGGTTGTATAGTTAGCTATAAGTTATGAGACTTGACAAGTCCCAACTCCTATGATGATCGAAAGAAATGAAGCTGGGATGTAATCTAGTTTCATTTATATTGGCTTTTCTGGTGCTTAAAGACTACCGTTTGTTGTTTTCTTTTTTCTTTAATTTTTGTCACAATGACAATATTTTATTTAAATCTTTTTTTCTATTTTTTTTGTTTATTAAAAATTTCCACCTCCTCCCCTCCTCCCAATACCCTCCCACTCCCCCCACTCCCTCTCCCCATCCCTCTCCAGTCCTAAAAGCAGTCAGGGTTTCCTGCCCTGTGGGAAATCCAAGGTCCTCCCCCTCCCTCCAGGTCCCGCACCGCCAGAGGGGAGTGCATGGCACCTCCAGCTCCTGCTGCAGGAGCTTCTTGGCTCCGCACAACCCTCCCCTCCCCCACGTTTGTTGTTTTCTTAAACGAAGCGTGTCAGTTTGGAGAGTGGGAGGCTGAACCAGCAATGTATGATGTTGGTGAGCCCCAGGCTATGTGGCTGTTTATAAGTGGTTGTGTTGACTGGTTTGATGTCAACTTGACACAAGCTAGCGTCATCCGAAAGGCGGGAACTTCAATTAAGAACATGCCTCCGTAAGATCAGACTGCAGACAAGGCTGGAGGACATTGTCTTAATTAGTGACTGATGGGGGAGGGCCGAGTCTACTGTAGGTGGTGCCATCCCAGGGCTGCTGGTCCTGGGTTCTAGAAGAAAACAGGTTGAGCAAGCCATGAAGAGCAGGTCAGCAAGCAGCACTCCTCCATGGCCTGCTCATCAGTTCCTGCTTCCAGGATCCTGTTTGAGATCCCATCCTGACTTCCATCAGTGATAAAGTATAACCCCAACTTGCTTTCGGTCATGGTGTCTCATTACCGACATACTAAGCTTAACTAAGACAGTGGCAGAGATATTCGTTGTGAGAAGAGACCATAGATGTAAAAGAACAGAGATATTCATTGTGAGAAGAGAAGATGCATGCATCAAACATGTTCCTGGACACATGGAAAAGGAAAGTGTCTTAGAGAAGGATCTTGCTGTAGGGGACACAGGAATGTAAACAATGCTTAGATGCTGAGCAGAAAAAAACGCCTTGGCTTTCCAAGGTTAGGTTTTCAGTTGTTCTGGAATTGATTGCAGAGAATAGAAGACCACTTCCAAGCACTAAGGATGCTTTGTGGTGTGGCTGATTGGGTGAAAACGCTGAGAAAACTGTAAATGGGGGCAAATGGGTCAACCCTCTCTACGAAGCACTCTAGAATGCCTGTGCACTTGTTAATGTGTCTGACCACTAGATGGCAGGAGCATCCTAAGTGTCGCTCTCTTTGGCATTTTCTTCATAGATTAAATAGCACG